CACTTAGAACTCGCATCTGGAGACTTTGAAGGTGGCTGAATAGACAGGGTTGCTTTCCTAGCTGCTCCATGACATGAAACCAAGAAAGCAGACAGGCAGCGTCTTGCAAGGTGGGTGAACCAAAAAAAGGGGGTGGGACTTTACTGGAATTTAAAACTGGACATTCAAAGCAGATTTGGGGCTCAGGGAGAAATCTCCAGCACCACAGCCACTGCTGGGGCCAGAGGCACAGGCCAGAGCAGTCCCTGGGCCAGCAAAGTAGATGGAAAGGGAATCAAAGGGACCTGCATGTTTTAGGAGGCCACAGGTGTGTCTGGGTACCGAGAGTTTGGGAGATCACAGACACTGCCCGGCGGAACTGAAAGACACACTGCGATATTCTTGAGTGAGAAAGAAGCCCCCATCTCTCCAGGTGGCATGTGGAGGACAGAGGAAGGAACCATTTTGCAGCCATGGCACAGGAGCCAGCAGCGGAGGGGGCCAATTCCTGGCAAACCGAAGTTTGGCCTGAAATACAGGCCCCGGCAAATACACACTGCACTACATAGAGTGTGCTTAGGTGACAGGGAGAAAATCAGACGTGAGAGAGGTTTACACAGGGGACTACTGGTCATGGAAACCCCCCAGCTCTCCTTCTCCCTGCTGGCAGGACCGCTGGGAGAGACGTGTCTGGCCTGAATTTGAAAGGGAGTGGGGCAGAGATTGGGTTTAGAGGCTGAAGCTGAGACCAGGAAATGGGGGGTCCACAGGTGCCCTACTGGACTAAGAATTGGCTCCACCACACAAGTGAAAACCAGGAGAGATCCCTGGGGTACAGTCTTCCAGTGTGGACCAGCAATTGCTGGGCCCTGGAGGTACGCTGATTTAAAATCTCCAGACCAATTGGCATTCCGCAAAGAGCCTGGAGCCCACTTAGGCCTAACCCCTGCCTCTGGAATTCCACCTCCAGGATGACCTCTCCCACTCCAGCAATCCAGAGGGTGGACCATCTCGCTCCAGACGACCCCACCCAATGTTGCTGAGAAGCTGAGAATCTTTTGAAATCCAACTGAAAGAATTCTTTTTTTCAAAATTTTATTTAAATTTATTTATTTATTCTAATTTGTTATACATGACAGCAGAATGCATTTCAAAATTTCTAGTACACATATAGAGCACAATTTTTCCTTTCCCTGGTCCATCTGAAAGAATTCTTTAACTTTACATTGATATATTTCTTCTCTCACCTGTTTTCCTCAACTCTCTTTCTTTCTTTTCTTCTGCTAACAGCTAATCTCTATTGTTCTTTCACCCGTTCCTTTAAGTTTTTACATCTACCTTCTCTCCTTCCTCATAATCATCACATTCTACATCATTCCGTTCTCTCCCTGTCCACCATTTGAAACTGTAAACCCTTTTGCAAACTTGCTGTTTTTTATTATAGGCAATAACTGATCTATCATTTCTGTTTATTGTGATAATTAACATTGTAGACTTCTTATTAGGAACTATTTGGTTTAATGCTGTATATTGTTTGCATTGGTTGTTGTTATTATCTATCTCTCCCTAAACAGTGAGGTACTGGAAACCTTCAGGGACACTGTAAGTCCACAGAGTAGAAACTCTATTGCCTCAGATCCATACTGTTAGATGGGTAGACACACTAACAGCATGAAAGCAAGGGAACATATCACCCAAATGAACCAAAATACTTCAATAACAGAATCCATTGACACCTCAGTGGAAGAAATGTCAGAGAAGGAATTTACAATTTATTTAGTTAAACTGATCTGTGAGATAAGAGATGATATAAGGAGTGAAAGAGTCAAAGATCACTTCAATAAAGAGAGAGATTCTAAAAAAATCAAGCAAGAATACTGAAAATGAAGGAATCAGCCAAATTAAGAATTCACTGGGAAGCATCACCAATAGGCTAGACCACTTGGAAGACAGAGGCTCAGGCAATGAAGACAAAATACATAATCTTGAAAACAAAGTTGACCATGGAGGAAAGATGTTAAGAGACCATGAACAGAACTTCCAAGAAACATGGGATAACCTGAAAAGACCAAATTTAAGATTTATTGGGATAGATGAAGATTTGGAGATATAAACAGAAGGAATGCACAACCTTTTCAATGAAATAATAACAGAAAATTTACCTAAAGAATGAAATGGAAAATCAAATATAGGAGATTTACAGGACTCCAAAAATACAAATATATCAATGATTGAATACACTTTCTTCTCATCCGCACATGAATCATTCTCTAAAATAGGCCACAAAGCAACTCTTAGCAAATACAAACAAATATAGATAATACCTTGCATTCTATCAGATCATAATGTAATGAAATTAGAAATCAGTGATAAAAAATAGAAGCTACTGGACTGGGGCTGTAGCTCAGTGGTAGAGCACTTGCCTAGCACATGTGAGGCACTGGGTTCGATCCTTAGTATCACATAAAAATAAATTAAAAAATAAAGGCATTTCTACAACTAAAGAAAAAATTAAGAATTAAAAAAATAGAAGCTACTTTAACACATGGAGACAAAATAATATGTTCTTGAATGACAAATGGATAGCAGAAGAAATCGGATGGAATTAAAAAATACTTAGAGGTAAATAAGAATAGTGATATAACACATCAAAATCTCTGGGACACTGTGAAGGTAGTGCTAAGAGGAAAGTTCATTGCATTGAGCTCATTCATTAAAATAATAGAAAGTCAACAAATAAGTAACCTAACATTACATCTCAAAGACCTAGATAAAAAGAACAAATCAACACCAAAAGCGGTAGAAAACAGGAAATAATTAAAATCAGATCTGAAATCAATGAAATTGAAACAAAAGAAACAATCCAAAAAAAAATCAATAAAACAAAAAGTTCTTTCTTTGAAAAACTAAATAAAACTGATAGACTCTTAGCCAATGGAACAAAGAGATAGAAAACTCAGATTACTAAAATTCATGATGAAAAAGAAAATGTCACAATGGACACTTATGAAATACAGATGATAATCAGAAACTATTTTGAAAATTTATACTCTAATAAAGTAGAAAAACCTGAGGATATTGAAAAATTTGTAAAGACATATGACCTGCCCAAATTGAATCAGGAGGACATAGAAAATTTAAACAGATCAATTTCAATGAAACTGAAGACATCATCAAAAGTCGACCAAGAAAGAAAAGCCGAGGACCAGAAAGATTCTCAGCCAAGTTGTACCAGATCTTCAAAGAAGAACTAACACTTACCCTCCTCAAATTATTCCATGAGATATAAAAGGAGGGAACCCTTCCAACTCATTCTATGAAGCTAGTATCAACCTGATAGCAAAACCAAACAAAGATACATCAAGGAAAGAAAATCTCAGACCAATATCCCTGATGAACATAGATGCAAAAATTCTTAACAAAAGACTGGCAAATCACATTAAAAAACACTAAAAAGATAGTGCACCATGTTCAAGTTGGGTTCATACCAGGGATGCAAGGCTGGTCCAACATACATAAATCAATCGTCACATCAATAGACTTAAAGACAAGAATCACATGATTATTTCAATAGACACGAAAAAAGCATTTGGAAAGTTCATTGCATACTTTCATGCTCAAAACATTAGAAAAATTAAGGATAGTAAGAACATACCTCATTGTAAAATCTATATATGCCAAACCCAAGGCCAATATCATTCTAAATGGAGAAAAATTAAAGCATTCCCTCTAAAACCTAGAGCAAGACAGGGATGCCCTCTTTCACCACTTCTGTTCAGCATAGTTCTGGAAACCCTAGCCAGAGCAATTAGTCAGAAGAAAGAAATTAAAGGGATACAAATAGGAAAAGAAGAACTCAAACTATGCCTATTTGCTGATGACATGGTTCTATATTTAGAAGACTCAAAAGACTCCATCAAAAAACTTCAAGAACTCGAATTCAGCAAAGTAGCAGGATATAAAATTAACACCCATAAATCAATGGTATTCCTATCTATCAGTGACAAATCAACTGAAAGAGAAATTAGGAAAACTATCCCATTCAAACAAAATAAAATATTTGGGAATCAGTCTAACAAAAAGAGGTGAAAGACTTCTATAATGAAAACTACAGCACTCTAAGGAAAGATATTGAAGAAGAACTTAGAAGATGGAAAGATCTCCCATGTTCTTGGATAAGCAGAATTAATATTGTCAAAATGGCCATGCTACCAAAAGTGCTATACAGACTTAGTGGAATTCCTATTAAGGTTCTGATGACATTCTTCATAGAAATAGAAAAAGCAGTCATGAAATTTATTTGGAAAAACAAGAGGCCCAGAATAGCCAAAGCAATTCTCAGCAAGAAAAGTGAAGCAGGAAGCGTCACCATACAGACCTCAAACTATACTACAGAGCTTTAGTAACAAAAACAGCATGGAATTGGCACCAAAACCGAAATGAAGACCAGTGGTACAGAAGACACAGAGGCAAAACCACATAAATACAGTTATCTCTTACTAGACAAAGGTGCCATAAACATACATTGGAGAAAAGATGGCTTCCTCTTCAACAAATGGTGCTGGGAAAACTGGAGATCTGGGGATCCACATGTAGCAAAATTAAATTTAACCCCTATCTCTCACCATGCATAAAACTCAACTCTAAGTGGAATAAGGACCTAGGAATTAGACCAGAGACCCTGTGTCTAATGGAAAAAGTAGGCCAAGTCTATATCATGTTGGCTTAGGAACTGAATTCTCCAAAAAGATTCCAAAAGCACAAGGAGTAAAATTAAGAATCAATAAATGGGATCATATCAAACTAAAAAGCTTATGTACAGCAAAACAAAAATAACATGAAGAGAGAGCCTACAGAATGGGAGAAAATCTTTACCACATGCACCTCAGATTCAGCATTAATCCCAGATATATAAAGCACTCAAAAAACTTTAAACAAACAAACAAAACCCCAAATAACCCAATCAATAATTGGGCAAAGGAACTGAAGAGACACTTCACAGAAGAAAAAATACACTCATCAACAAATATGTAAAGATGTTCAACGTCTCTAGCAATTAGAGAAATTCAAATTAAAACTACACTGAGATTCCATCTCACTCCAGTCAGGTCAGTTTGCCTCGTGGGCCTCCAGGGGCTATGGCCCTCCCATCTCTCTGGGTTTTTTGCAGTTTGTAGATTTTAGAACTTGCCAGATTGTTCTCGGAAGAGGCTGAGGCAGTGTGCCAGCAGCAGGGAGGGTAGTGGGGAAGACTGACACATACCCCAAGGTCACCACACACTTGTCCTCTCCTCCAGGGAGGGAGGGCCGTGCCGGCCGGGATCCCAGGCTGGCAGGGGCACTGGCAGGATGAGGTGGGGGGGAGCTCTCCAGCTCTGTCTGGTTCACCCCACTTTGTCCCTGGCTACTCTGCTTTACCCAGGGCCCAGGAAAGAAAAGAGAGGTCATGTGTGTTTGCCTGAGCCAGGGCAGGAGCTTTGGAAATACCTGTCTCCAGGCCACAAAGAGAAGGAACGGTCACCTCCTGCCATTAGCGTGATTCATTGCCGTCACACCTGAGCTCCGGGGGGCAGACTCAGCCAGCTCAAGCCAACCAACTATTGATTTTATGGAGCCGGCCCCAGCCCCGTGGGCAGCTGCCAAAGCAGGGACAGCAGGCAGGGGATGCTGGGACCAGATGTCTTGAAGGGCTCGGTGTGGCGGGGCTGTGGGGTGGGCTCCTGCCCCTGGGCTCGCCTGCCCCTCTCTCCTGGAGCCCCGTCAGTTCCTTCCTGCAGCGGGCGGATCTTCCTCCACAGGCTAGGCAGGGCCTCCTGCTAGCTGTGTGGCTCTGGAAGGTCATGGAGCCTCAGTGTTCTCAACAGCAAAGTGGATTCATCTGCTTCTTGTTCCTCCCTGGGTCAAATGATTCTATGACATAAAAACACTTTAAAATTCCCACCTGCGGGAATCACGTTATCAATCCAACATCGCCGTCGGCTCCTTATCTCCTCTCTCCCAGCCAGCAGGGCCTCCTGTCTGTTAGATGTGGGTCCAGCGTCATCCTTGGCCCATCTCCCCTGCAGTTCCCACCCCCTGTTAATAGCAGCCACAAAGGTTGCCTAGGTGAGTTGTCGGGAAGAGCAAGGCAGATCTTTGGAATTCTCTGGAACCAGGACAGGGATGGGATTGTTGCTATGTCAGGAAAGCCGGGTTCTGTAAAGATAAGAAGGATGAACCGATAACCACGATCCAGCCCTCCCAGAGGCCGGAGAGACTCTGCGATTTGTGCAATAAGTGAAAAGAGAGACTGCAAAGCCACAGGCGAGCCCTTGGAGTCCCGTCTGCGGGTTCCAGAGGCGGTGGAGGCAGGGAAGGCGGTGAGGGGAAGGCTTGCTGGAGGGGACGGGGAAGGAGAGCTTCTAGAGGGAAGGGCCACTGCTGAGCAATGGCCTTGGTTCCAGGTGAACGCCAGGCATGAGTTCTGAGGAAAGTCAAGAATGCATTTCTCTCCAGGGTATTCGCTGTGGGGGAGGCGGGTGGAATGGGTTTGACCTTGTCACCAGCTAGTGACTTTGACTCTAGAGTACATTGCCCTTTGGCAGCTCCCAGGACCTCTGTGCCCCATAGTTGGGGCCATCTTGAAGCCAACACTTAAGGAACGGACCCTTTGGGGCCCACCTCCTTCCTCCCAGCCCTACCATATAAGACCCCAGTGAGCTGGCATCTGTAGGCAAAGCAGGCGACAGGAGCCAGCGTGTCACAAATGTTGCCTAGAAGAGCCACCACCATCCCTGTGCAGTAGGCACATGCGCCACGCACCTGAGGATGAATGGGAGCCAGGGGTCGGAGCTTTGTAGGGGTTTCTGGCTCCAGCCCCCTCAAAGCCCCATTCAGCTGTGAGCCAAAACCGAGAGGGATTGATCTGGGAGCCTAGACTTCAAGGCTGGGGACTCTGACATGCAGACCCTGCCAAGCCCAGGGCAGGTGGGACTGGCGAGTCCTGTCTTTGGGAAGGCCTCTGCGCTGGTGGTTCACTTGAGCATCAGGGAGACCAAGGTCAGCTGGACGTCCCAGCTGTTACTCCCACCCCAGGCTGCTGCTGAGACTTCAGAGTCAGGGCATTGGGGGTGCTGCTTGGGGGAGACAGAGGAGACTGAGGCTAATAGCTGAGGTCAGTGTCCCATTTGGCATGATGGTGCTGAAAGAGGGATCCAGGGGTGAGACCATCCCTCCACCTCCAAAAGACTCCCAGGTCCTGGGTCTTGGAGGGACAGGTGGGCACAGCTGGATTGCCCCTCTGTGGCTCCAGCTTGAAACAAGCAAAGAATGACAGGGGAGGTCTCTGCCTGCCCTGGAGCCTGGCTGGGTCTGCAGCACAGGAGTGTCTCCACCCCAGCTGGCCCCAACGCCCCAGGAAAGCCTGCAAGAGCAAGAACCGAGGCCAGAGCCAGCGGGGGACAACTGTCACCTTGGTTTGTCTGGGAGGCAAGGAAGGTTGGGACAGTGATGGGGGCTGGCAGGGGTCCTGCTGGGGGGTCAGCGAGGGGAGGATGCTCCCAGGAAGCCTGCTGCAGAGGTCACCACTTGGACTGAGCCAGGCGAAGGGACTGGAGTGAGTGTCCTTGTCCCCTGGGGCCAGCCGGGGCTCACGACCTTCTTTGGCCAAGCGTTTATCTATATCACCGCTTCCTACAGCAACCCTGCAAGGTAGGTGGTTCCTCATTTTACAGATGGCAGGGGACAAGAAGGACACCAGAGAGATGTCCTCCCCAGTGTCACGCAGTCCAAAGTGCAGGGTCAGGATGCAAAGGGATTTAAGTCCCTGAGGGTCTGGGCACCTCTGTACGCAGAGACACGCGGGAGGAGATGTTCCTGAGCTGCCCTCAGGTAACATGGTCCAGGGGTGGAGGGGCCAGGCCCTCTCTGCAGGACAGTAGGATGTCTCAGAGAAGGCTCCTTGTCCCCAGTGCAAAGTAGGCCCTGAGGATGACCTTGGCCAGCTGGGGGAGGACAAGGAAGAAGCCTTGGAGTGAGGAGAGAGGGTGGGAGCTCTGCCACTCTCAGCCAACATCATCCGGGTTCCCAGGCTCCAGGAGGAGCCCATGGTGGGGGGGGGCGGGTGGTAGGAGAGGAGGCAAGAAGAGTGACAGCGAAGCCCCAGAGGAGCTGCCGGCAAGGTTGGGGTGCTGACCTTGCCCATAGCTGCCTGTCGGGGAGAGTGCAGCGACCGGGCTGATGGGAGGAGGCTGCCTAGGTTAGCCCTGGGCACCCTGCACCCCCCACAGGATGCCCTTCCCCTCTCTGTGGCTGACTCATTCATTTAAAAAACTCAGGGTCCACTGTGTGCCGTGCCAGGCACTGGGGATCCAGGAATGAGCACACACACACACAGGGGTTTACATTCTAGTTGGGAGAAAGAGCAGATAAGGACAATGTTTAACTTGTCAGAAATAAGTGCTGCCCACAAAAAAAGCCAGCTGGGAGGGGGTTTGTAGCATTTTGCAGAGAGGGGTGTGGGAACTTTAGACAGCGATGCCAAGAAGGGTGGTCTGAGTCAGGTACAGGAGGAAAGGCCTGAGGATAGCATGAGTTTAGCCAGGAAGCTCACTGGAGGCCCAGTACTCGGGAAGAAAACAGCCTGTGCAAAGGTCCTGAGACAAAATGGAGCTCTGGATGGTCAAAGGACCATCCAGGGGACCAGTAAGCTGGAATAGAGAGATGGGCAGAGAGATGAGAGAATGTTCAGAGGGCTCACTGGAGTGACAGCAAGAAGGGCCTCTTAGGACACCAAAGGACTTCAGGGTATACTCTGAGCCCTCAGATTTTGAGCAGGAGAGCAAACCATTTTTTTCAAGTGAGGGGATTGGGTGGGATGGCCTTGAAGCCCTCCTCTGTGGGACACAACGCCTTTGTTCACGGCATCTGGGTTGGGGAGGGAACTCCAGGGAGCAGAGGGGCACAGCTCAGATCAACACTTTTCTAGACCAGTGATAAAGTGTGAACCTGGCCACCTTAAATGTCCCATCCAGCCCCGAGGCTTAGACACTTCTCCAGGGGCCCAGTTGGGGAATTTCCACTCACAGCTCTGGGCTCTCTGAGTGTGCAGTTTCCATCTGGGAACACATGACAGGGCCACTGGGCAGCGGTGCGGAGACCAGGAAGGGTGGGAGGACTTGGAGCCGGCTGCCCCTGCGAACATCGCCCCCCCAGGGAGCCCCCTCAAGGCAGCCCGCTCTCTGCTTCAGAGCGTTTTCCAGCCCAGGCAGCTTCCTGTGGGGTCACTAGTCCCCCATCAGGGCAGGAAGTGCTGCTAAGGAGGGACACAGAGGCCAGCTGTGAGTGACCAGACCCGGCACCTCCTAGACTCTGCTGCTCTGTGTCCGTGCTAAAAGGGCCACACCAGGGTGACCGCAGGGGCCAGAGGGAGACCTGTGGTCTTCCTGCACAGAGGCTCCTTGTGGCAGCTCTCCTTGGGCCCAGCATGGTGGCCAGGGAGTGGACAGCCTGCGTCTCCCCTGTGGGCTCCCAGCTTCATCCCGGCGGCCCTGAGCACCCAAGAAGCGCTGCCTTCTGGCTGTGCCCATCTGGCACCCAGGGGAGCCCAAGAGGCCTCAGTAAGCACAGTCCCCTCTGGAGGAGTCCTCTGAGGTGTGGTGGCAAGACTGAGACCCCAACCTGACACCACATCGCCAGTCCCTGGGGCTGGGCGAGGAGCCCAGTGGAGGAAGGGCAGCTCTGGCCCCAGCTGTTTCCCACTCTCTGCCCAACTAATGACCCAGGAGGCGGCCACTGCCTCCACCCCCAGGACCAAGTGAAAACCATCCCCTGCCTCATCAGGGGCACTTCCCGGGGCTGCTGCCAATCCATCCAGTCCCAGGAGCTTCTTAGCAACAAAATGAGACCTGGAGGCGAGAGATATCAGGGCAAAGGCCAATAGGGTCAGAGGATAAAGATGCCGCTCATCCTGCCCACCCCAGAAAGGCTCAGGGGACCCACACATGCCCTTGAGGACCAGGGCCAGAGCAGCGCTGGCCAGTGTCCTCCTGGCGAGCCGTGCCATCAGGATCCCGGGACAAGGGAGCAGTGTGGGGCTGAGGTGGGCGTTGCTGGCGCTCACAGCTGACCCTCCTCACACCAGGTGGAAATCAGAGAATCTCCCCCAGCCGACGTGGATCCCATGCCCCAACCTGCTCAGACAGGTGAGCACAAGGTGAGCGCTCCCTTGGCAGCCCCTCCTCCTGCCTCCTTTCTTCCTGTCTGTGGGCTCAGGTGACGCAGGGGGAGGGAGGAGGTCACTCCTCCCATCCAGACCCCAGGACGCAGCACTTCACGGCTCTCCTGCATCCTTGACCACAGCCCGCGGCTCCTGCCATGGACAGGTGGTACCCAGGTGAGTGCCCCAAGCCCTGTCCCTCCCTGTGGCCTCAGGCTCTGACTTGGAGGCCATCCCATCACTCAAGTGTCCCAGGCAGCTCCCCAGAGGCACAAGAAATGCAGAGGTGAGGAGAGGGACAATATCCAAACAGAGGCACCTGGGTGCAGAGTCCTGGGTCTGCTGTGGTGTGGACAGAGCGTCTCTGAGCCACGGAGCTGGGAAAATGTCTGGTCCAGCCGCCTCCTCCTCAGGCTGTCTGTCTGTCCATCTGCCTGTGCAGGAACCCAGAAGCCAGATGGCTGACTTCAGATCTTGGTCTCCCCCCTGCCCCAGCTTCCTGCCCTCCAGAGAGTCACTGAACTCCTGTCTCAGGGTCTTCCTCCAGAAAATAGGGCAATAGCAAGGCTATTCTCTACCTTAGACAGCAGAGCCCCGATTAAGGAGTAAATTTCCATAAAGCGTTTGGAACAGTGCCTGGAGGAGTTCCGAAATGCATCTGTCAACCAGCCTGCTCCGCAACTCTGTCTGCCTGTCTGTCTGTCAATCATCTGTTAAAATTTCTACCTATTTTTTTCATCCCTTATTATTCCGGAATAAATCCACAATGGCTTACAAAAATAAACAAAATCTACTGAGGTAACTGGTCTGCTAAGTGGGGGTCACAGCACTGCCCTGGCCACCTCCAGGGGGGGCGCAGGGACCAAGGATTCTTTCTCTGTACAACCAGAGCTAACTTGCATTCGATGGGGACAGTGCCTGGGAAGAGGTTGGCCCGTGGTCTGCCCTTGCTAAGCTCTGGTCATAGTCTCATGAGAACTTGTCACTTGGCTCTGCAAGCAGAAGGGCGCTGAGTGGGGTCTGTGGGATCATGACCTTCTCCCCATCTCACTGGCTCATGCTTATTTGCAGTGGAGGGTGTCGGCTTTTCTGTGTCCAACAGCAAATGTTAAGTGGTAGGTTAAAGCCTGTCATTTCTCACCCAATGCAAACACAGCAGTGACAGCAGTGACACTTGTTGGGAGACAGGTCTTCTACTCCTCAGGCTCTCACCTGGGCCTGGAAGCCACCCTAGTGGGGGCCATGCCCACTGTGTGGATGAGGAGCCGAGTCACAGAGAGGCAAGCAAGTGGACAGGAGCCCCACAATGAGCCAAAGGAGGACCCGGGTGTGAACCTGGCCACTGCTCCAGGAGGACATGCCCTCAGAAGGACTCTACTGGCCCTGGAGGCCCCTGGCCCCTGCCTCGGCCCTTTGGCTTCCATTGTGCATTAGCCTCTTTGGAGACAGATTCAGTCAGTCAGAACTCACAGGAGTGGAGAACCCAGCCCCCGAGCCCCCCGGGAGAAGGTCATATGCCATGGGGGGACAGCCTGGGAGGGGTGGGGAAAGCGTCTGACCCCTGAAACCAAAGACTGACCATCCGTCTCCCCGTTCCCCTTGCGGGCTGTGTGACCTTGGGCGAGGCTTCAACCTCGCGGTTCACGTTCATCTGTAAAATTGGGCGCATGCAGAGCTCAAGGAGCTGCCAGCCAGGAAATCGCTCTGTGAACCATAAAGCAAAGTGTTGCCTCTGGGATAAGCCGGGGCCCCTGCCTGAAGGAGGAGACAGTGCCTGCTGGACAAGTGGCATGGGGACAGCTTGAGAGCAGGAGTTTCATGGTGGAGGAAGGAAGCATCAGGGTAGCAGAGAAAGAACGATCAGTCAGGGACGGCTGGAGCCTTTCCAACTGAGGCACGCGTGCCAGAGGAACCTCAATGGATGGAAAAGATATCACGGGGCAGGGCCTTCCACGGCAGTCGATGGCTGGCCACCTGTAGCTGTCCAAGGCTGGGGCTGCTGGTTGGCTCAGGAAAGTCCTTGAGGGCTAGAGGGGAAGGGGAGAGTGCGGCACCGGGACCCACTCAGGAAACCCCTGATGCTAAGAAATAGGGGCCATCTTGCTGGGCACCATGGTGCATGACTGTAATCCCAGTGGCTCAGGAGGCTGAGGCAGGAGGATTGTGAGTTCAAAGCCAGCCTCAGCAACAGGGAGGCTCTAAGAACTCAGTGAGACCCTGTCTCAAAATAAAATGTAAAAAGGGAGTGGAGATGTGGCTCCGTGGTCAAGTGCCCCTGGGTTTAATCCCTTGTACCAAAAAGAAAAAGAAAGAAAAAAAAAAAAAGAAACAGCAGCCACTACAGTGGCATCCTTGGGCTGGGAAGGTGGCCACTGCTGGGGGGCTCCCAAGGACAGTGCAAGCTGAGCAGTCTGAAACTTCCCCTTCCCCCCCCACGCCCCAGCTGTGGCTCCTCCCGCTGTGGAAGAACACCAAGGCTGGCCTGGCCTGGCCTGGCCCTTCTCTGGAAACTTCCTCTGGGAGGGCTGGAAGCTGAGCCAGCCTCCCCAGCCTCCCCCTCGAGCCTCAGAGCCTCAGCAGGAGCCCTCCGTCCACACTGCAGCTTTCTTGTGACCAGGGTAAATATTACCTGGTACTGTTAATGTTTAATGCCCCCACCTCGTCCCCGGCCACCACACGGCAGACGTTCTCCCCAAAGCAGAGGCAGCAGGAAAAGGGTAGTGGGGACAGGCCCCCGCTGGCTGGGGAAATGGCAGTGTTGGCAACGGCGGACGATGGTGAGTGTTTCTGTGTGTGTGTGTGAAGCCAGGTGACCCTGCTTGGGCCACGGCTGGAGGGGTGACCCCGCTCTTCCCTCTCCTGCCTCTCAGGGTAGCCCCCTCCTCCATGGGCCAGCCTTTTTGCTAAGAAAATTTGCATTTTGAAAGAGGACCCTGCCTTCACGCCAAAGAAGACTGGTTCAAAGGGCAGGACTGGGGGCAGTCGGTGGAGCTGGAGGGGAATGAGTGCCCATCTTTGGCTCTCTGAAAGCGCCATCCTGGCCAGTGCATCTTCCTGGGCCGTCTGAGCTCAGGGTACTCTGGGAAGAAGCAGACCTGGGGGTCAGCCTTCCTAGGCTAAGAGTCACCCAAGTTCAGCACACACTCTCCAGAGGCATCAGGTGATGAGGGACTCGGGCCTGGAGCCCAACAGGGGCAGCTACTGACCAAGGCGGGTTCTGAGCCAGACCTAGAGGAGGGGGAGGGGCTCATTCATGGGTAGAAGAGGCGGTTTCCTGAGTGGGGAGGGGACTCCTAGTGTAGGTCTAGCTGGGTCTGACACTACCTCCCTGTGTGACCTTGAACAAGGCCTGGACTGAATCTGGGGAGATGACCTTGAAGGCTTTCTGCCTGGGGTTGGGGGCCTGGTTGCTCAAAGACTTACCTTGACCTCTGACCCTCCTGAGCAACCAGGCACCAACCCCTCCTGGCCTGAACCCTCCTGACCAAGGGACTGGCCACGGGGGACATCAGGGCTCATGGGGGCCTGGAGGCTACCTCTGCCCAGGGCACAGGGCAGGAAAGGGGGCAGCTCCAGGGATGGCTGGCCACCTTGTAGCTGTCCAAGGGCACGTGAACTCAGCTCAGGGGGATGGCGGGCAGAGCTGTGACTTCTGCTGGTTACAGGACTGGGGAAGCCACAGGAGGCAGAGGCAGGCCAGACAACTTTGACTGGAAAGTTCTCTGAGAAGCAGCATAGCATCTTCCTTCCTGGGTTCAAATCCCAGCTCTGCCCCTTACTTGCTGTGTGACTGAGTAGCTTACTTACCCTTTCTGTGCATGCATCTTCTTGTGGATCATACTGGGAAATATCAGTGGCTCAGGGTAAATAAGTTAATGTTCTGCTAACTTTAGCCTGGTACCTGTAAGTTCTTTATATTAATGTCTTTTAAATAAATTTGCTCACCCCTGAGGATGGTAATGTAGGAAAGCAGAATCTAGAAAGGAGTCAAGCTCCAGTTGGGCCTCCAGCTTCCCTGGAACTTCACATAAGCCTCCTACTAGGCTGCAGTTTCCTCCTTCTGTTCTGTGAACTCAGAGGCTGTGTTTTATTCATTGGTTCATTGCACCGAGGTCTGCTAAGGGCGCGTGGTGGACAATTGGTGGGAAGAGAGCCTGCTGGTGACTCTCAAGGGAACAGCTCCTTGGCCTTCCCTTACTGGGGTGTGAGGCAGAAAGGCCCCCGGGATGGACCCTCTTGGGGTCCCCAGGCAGCCTAGGGCAGGTGCCCCCTCTGGCCTCCTCCTTTCAGGGCCTATTGCCCAGTTTCCCTGGACCCTGGGGGCTGGGTGAGAGGCGGAGGACTGCAATCGCCGCCTGTGACTTCCCTTCCCATCATTCCACCTCTGGCTCTCTCCTCAGGTGGCAGCCCCAAGGGGGACGTGGACCCATTCTACTATGGTAAGCCTGGCCACCCACCCCACTTCCCGGCCCTTCCGGAGCCTTGCCCTCCCCCACCTCCTGGCCCAGCAGCTGGCCCCAGCTCTGACTCTGTCCTATCCCCCTCCTGACGGCCCCCAGTCACCACGGGGCTGCTGCTGGGGGGGGGGCGCGGGGAGGGCTGCCAAGAGATGACCCATCCCCCATGTCGCCTCTCACCCCCTCTCTTTCCTGAGACTATGAGACTGTCCGGAACGGGGGCCTGATCTTCGCTGGCCTGGCCTTCGTCGTGGGACTTATCATCCTACTCAGTAAGTGGCCGGTGGCCTTGTGTTGGAAGCGGGGTGCTGGTTAGGGCACAGGGACTCGCCAAATCCCCAAGGGCGGAGTGAATCTCCAGCCCCGCCCGCTGGCGCTGCAGGACTGGGAAGGAAGTGCACCCTCTAGTGGATCCTGGAGGAGCTGCAGGGAACTTGCAGCGGGGCGGGGATGGAGGGTGGGGAGCGGAAATGAGAGGGCCGGGCAAGGGGAGCCCCGCACCTGCCCTGATTTGGGCTCACTCTTAGATGTGAACTGAATATCAGCCCATTTAATCCTCTGAGCCCCACTGAGGGAGGCCACCACTGTCAGTATGTGACACATGAAAAATCAGGCCACCCAGAGAGGTACAGCTAGCTGTTCATGAGGAGCAGAGCTGGATTCAACCAAACCCAGGGGTATCTCTTAACTGACCCCCACCTCCACTGGAAAGCAAGCGTGGCTGGGAGCCAGACCCCTGGGCACTGCTGTTAACTTACCACAGACTCCAGTCCCTGGGCCTCAGTTTGTTCATCTGTTAAATAGGGATGATCCCTCCCACTGCCTCTAGATTAGGGCTTACACTAAAGACATGGCATCAAGAACGGGCTTTAAGAAGGGTCCAGTGTGGTCATGGAGCATTCTAGGTGAGAAAGTCCTGGATTTCTCCCATCCGCAGCAGGTGCTTAATAAATGCTTGTTGACCTGTTTGGCAACCAAAAGAAAAACATCAGAAGCATAATTACTGCAAAGGAGACCCCTTGTGTAGCAGACACACCTCTGTGTTCTAGAATTCTGGCACAGTCACACTCACTGTCACTGCATCTACAGGACTCGGTCTGCAGGAATAGCTGGTCTCCCCACTGCACCCCATGGGAGCTCCTCCAGGGTGGCACTGTGTAGTGGCTGAGCACACAGGTGCCGGAGGTCGATGGGCCTGTGCAGGGACCTCAGCTTTGGGCTTACAGGCATCCTTCTCCAAGCACGTACTGAGCAGCTACTATGTGCCCAGCATTGAGCTGGGAGCACCACAAGGCCCAGTCTCAGGGGCTATGCTCGACGGGCTCAGTCCAGTACAGATCGGCTGCCTAAATATTTGTTGATTGGCTGGCTGGCTGGGGCTCTTGAATGCTTATTTTCCAGCCCCCTGTAAAGAGAGACAGTCAAATGTGGCCTTCCAGCCCCACACTGTGGACATGCCGGCAGGAGTGGGGGAGGAGGGACTGGAAGAACCAAGTCTTCCAGGGTCTCCTTGGGAAGGGAGAGGCCAACGAATACAGATCCTCCTTTCTCTTTTCAAGGCAGAAGATTCCGCTGTGGGGGCAACAGGAAGCCTCGGTGAGTGATGCCTGGGGAAACCCAGAGGGGGGGCGAGCCAGGGAAGAAGGGACAACTGTCTCTGAGGTCTTGAGAGGGAGTCCCCGAGCTCAGGGACCTCCCACTGACCGAGTCTTTGTTCCTCCCACCCCAGGCAAGTCAGTGAGGACATGCTGTAGCGAGAGGTATGTCTGTACGTCTGTCTGCAAGGGTCAGGAAGGGCGGGCAGGGTGTGGCCAGGGAGGGGTCAGAGGGAGGAGGGCAGGGCCAGGCGCAACAACCCAGGAAGAATCTCGGGGTCATCTGAGCAGCAGCCAGGTGGGCTGTCCCCATCACCTGTTTTTGATCGCCACGCGCCTGGTGTGAAGTAGGTGACAAGCAGAGACTGCAGAGGGGCCCCACAGAGCATTAAGTCAGACAAGGAGGAAACAAGACTCCCGATCTCCGCCACCGTCCTCCCTGCCTGAATGCTGCTGTGTCCTTACAGGGTCTGCTGTGCCCATCACGGCCGGGGGGCTGGCTAGGAGGCCAAGGATGCCCCATCTTCCCTGGGCTGTTGACCTTTGTCCCTGCACTGCCGGCTCACAGGCTGGGGGAAGCGCCAGGCTCAGTGTGATTCCTGCATGGATGACTGTGTCACCGCCTCCTGCCTCCTGCTGCCCCCACGCCTCTTCCCTCACCTCTTCCCTTATCTCCCCCCGCCCCTCCATCCCATAACTACCACAGCCCCCTGTTCCCAGATGGAGTACAAATTCAGCCTGGTCTTGGTTTGGTTTTCAATGACTCTTGCCGCCACCCACCTGCCTGCAAAAGCAAGTTGAGTGTTGTCCTCCGCAGGCGTCTCTCCGCTGGCCCCTGACCAGCAGGATCCCTAGGGACAGAAGCCTCAGTCTAGCTCCTGAATGCCTGATGAAGTCGGAAAGTCCATAGGTTCAAAGTCTCTGGGTCTGCTGGGTTCCGCTAAGGCCTCTGCCCGACATGGGGTGCTGCTCTTGGAAGCCTGGAAGCTTCTGCGTGGGAGTTACTATGGAGATGCCCCAGGCTGCCCAGGCTGGGGCTGTTTGTGTCACATTCATGTGCTCTGCCCTTCCCCCAAGTACACCACTGTGCCAGGCAGGCAGCTCTGCTCCTCCCGACCTTGGGCATCAGCACTCTCCCTTCTCTCCCCACCAACCCTTGTGCTCGTGGGGCCAGGAGACCCCAGCTGCACCCACTCCCACTAGCTGTGTGGGTGCTGGCTCAGTCAATCCAGGGCCCGGGGCTGGGTGGACATCCAGGGTAAGCCCATTGCAACTGCTTGCTCCAGCCCCTGCTGGTTCAGGGACCCATTCAAGGCAGACTCAGCCTGTAAGGTGTCAGACAACCTCACCTACCTGTGCCCACATCCCCAGAGCTGCACCCAGGCTGTTCAGGGCACCCCCTTCTGGGAGTCTGCATTCAGGACAGAGCCCAGCTCCCCCTCCCTCCCTCCACATACAGGAAAGATGGTGGGATCAGGGCCCCCTGGTGTCTGATTCATCATCTGGATCTGCCAGCATCCTAGGGGGCCTGGGGGGGGGGCATGGGCAGAACCAGCAGCACCAAGGACAGCGACATGGTGGGCTCCAAATGGAACAAGCTACTCTTGGGACCAGGGGCAGGGTGACCACTACTGAACTTGGGAATTAAACTTTGTCCTAATCCAGTGCTCCCAGGCCCTGAAGACCACCAGCCCTCCTGGAATCACAGAGGCTTGCTCCTTAGAGAGAGAAATGTACACACCCTCATTTACAGGACAGGACACTGAGGCCCCAGGAGAGACGGTGACTTTGTCCAGAGTGACTCTTCTGGCCACACTGACACCCAGGTTTGGAAGGCTCCCCACCACCCACCTGTGCACTTGAAGAGGCCTGGATGGTGAGTGGGGGGGTCTCCAGAGGGGACCAGGAGCCATGAAGGGAAGAGCCTGGCTACTCATCTCAGCACCAAGGTCTCTGATGTTGGCTTACTGATGACAAAATGTGACAGTCACATCATTAAATAAAATACGGTATTACCATGCAGGAGACAGGGCCACACATGAGCACCTGTGTGAGGGTAGGAGATGCAACAGGTCCAGTTTAGAGGGCTTTCAGGAGGAAGTGGGCTCCCAAAGCTCCCACATATCGCCAAAGGCAAGTGGAAAGAGAAGGTATTCCAGGCCTGGACCCACCCAGAGAGCAGAGCCATGCAGAGGAGTCATTTCTAGAACATTCTGTTTAAGCCTATAACACTGAAAAGGAATCCCAGCCACTCTGGAGGGAAATGATCCTGGGTGGTCACTTCCTGATCAGCCTGACTTGAGGCCTCCCTCCCTCTCCTTTGAACCACCAGATGCCCAGGATCCCCTCGAGGCCTGCTGGATATGAAGCTTGGGGTGGGCCCATAGTCTGAGGCCTAGCAAGCTCCCTAGTGGCCCTGAGGAGAAGCCAGGGCTGACAACCACTGACCCAGGGGACATTCTGAGTCTGTGACCTGCTCCCTGGCCAGGACTCTTGGGAACATTTTCCTTCCCTCTCCATGAGGGTCACATGATCTGTAGTCACTGAACTTTCACTTTATTTTGGAACTTTCCACAATTCAAACCTGTAGTGAGTCACAAGAACAACCAAGTCAGGAAGAAAGAATGAATTACTGTCCATCAAACAGCTGGGACACAGCCCCTGTCTGGGGTGCAATTCCCACGATCACCACCAGAGGGAACCAGTGCCCTACTCCGAATCCCCTCCAATGGCTTTTTTTGCAAAACAGTCTTTCCAAGGGTCTTTGCCAGGGAGGAGGGGGCACCCAAATGGTCTGCCATGCACCCCGGTTTCCTGGAAAAGCCCTGAGCTCTTTTCATTCTGTCTGTATACCCCATGCCTACTTCCCGTCCCAGGGACAGTACTTGCCCTGCTGTATAGTAATTCTTGGCTGCGGGGTCTTGAGCCCCACTCCTTCCAGAGCAGAAGCCATATATGATCTACAATTTCCTCAAAGCCTAGGGCAGCCATGAAACTTCGAACCCCATAGTTTGAGTCAACATCTTGATCAGGACCCTGGTAGGGACACACCAAACAGGGACACTTGTGAGGTGGGGGGAGAGGAGGTGGGTTGCCGGGTGCAGCCCCAGCTGTGGATTCTGATGGGATCCACGGGGCAGCATGGTTTTCAAACCTTCCCAGGTGACTTCAATGTGGAGTTGAAAGTCAAGGCCAATCAAGGTGAAAGCCAAGGTGGGCAGGCTGGGTGGGGTGGGGGAGGGGAGCTTTCTGTTGAGGGGCACAAAGCTCAGCCTTGCCCCATCTGTGTCATCCCAGCTCTCCCAAGAGAGTGCTTCTCAGGACAGCAAAGGTCAAAAAATGCTGGCCTTGGGCAGTGGGGCCACAGGGCCTTTGCCTGGCCTGCCTTCCTTACAATACTCTCAGCAAAATCTGGACACAAAGTCCTGGGTGGGCAAAGGATTAGCCCTGTCCCATGCTCAAACCACAAACCATGAATGAATGAAAATTTTTGGATCCAATTCATAGTAGCTGAAATTTCCAGAAGTGTTATTGGCCCTTCCATCTATTCACTCAGAAGGATGCTTTTGCTTTTTAAGTTCATAAAACATTGAAGTGATTTAAAAATAATCCACAGCCCACTCTCACCCAGCCTCTGTCCATCCCACAGACGGGGGGTCTCGCAGTGAGGACAAAACGCCCGCACTGGGATGACATCCTTGGCTGGGAGGCCTGGGCAGAGCCCTCTCTTTCCTGGACTGGGTTTGCTCATCAGAGGAGCCAGGCAGAGGCTGGAGCTGGGGCTGGTATTCTGTCCAGAGTGAGGTGCTACCGGCATGAGCCTCTAACTATTCTAAAGGCCTTGGGACCTTGAAGGAGACCCTTCCCCTGCCCAGCAATCTTGAGCTCTCCCAGGTCGAGGAAGGGTGCCCCAAAGAACTGGCCTTGAGTAGCTCGCTGACTACTTTAGTTAAAGGAGAGGGCACCCTGGGCAGTTGGGGGGTTACCCACGTAGTGGGGGTTGAATCTTCCTGAGGTCCACACTCCTCCTTTCTCCTCTTCGCTCCTGGGGAATGGGGCCTCTGTCCATCCTCGGCCCCAGGAGGCTGAGCTCTGAACTGCAGTACCGATGTGGCCTCTTGGGGGCGGTAACCCGCTTCTCCCTGGGGACCCATTCTTCAGCCACCTGGCCAGGTCAGGGGGGATCAGAGACAAATACGGTGTCCACGCGACGCTTCCATCGCAGCTGGGAAGATGTGTCAGACCTGGGCTTCAGAGACCTGGCCACTGCAGCCCCAGTCAGGGACATTAGGAGGACAGTAGCTGAGCTGGGAGAAACAGGAGCAGCCAAGTGTCCCAGCCCAGGAAGAAGCCCATGGCTCGGTGTTGGTGTCCCCTCCCAGGCTCTGGCTGCCCAAGGAGCCTCCCAGACCGGCCACTTTGTGTGTTTGCAGTAGACTTTGAGGGCTTGGAAAAAGTTGAGAACTTTGAACCTTAGTGTCCAGGGCTTCCACCTGCCCCTGGAAGCCCAAGGAGGCCAGGGGAGATGGCTCGGGGCGGGTCTCGTGCCTGGAAGGCACTGGGGTGAGTCACATTCCGAAGTTGCTGCTCCTCAAACCCTGGTTTGCAGAGTTTCCAGAACTTGCTGGGCTGTCTTCTCTGTTGTGAGTGACATCCCATAGTCCCCTCGGCCCCAGGAGGCCTTCTGTCTCTTGTGGAGGCTATGTGTCTCTAGATCCCTAAACTGGGTTCTCTTTTTATGAAATTCTCACTGTTCTTCCTCAAAGAGCTCCTCTAGTGTCACCCAAAGGAATCCCCCAGGTGCGTGCAGCAGGAGGGAGGCAGAGGAGGAGAAGTTCCCAGCTGGGGCAGCAGTTAGTGCTGTGGCTCCACCCAGGCCACTGTGGAAGGTGAAACTAGCTTCACTAGAAGCTTTGTCCTGGGCCTGCTGTGTGACCCTGGGCAGGTCCCTGTCTATCTCTGGGCTTGGTTTTGGAAAAATGAACACAAGACAAATTTCTAAGCTTCATCTTGAAAGTCAAGAGGCTGTGATTTCTGAGGGGAGGCAGTGGCTGAGTTGTAGCTAATCCCCTTGCCCCAGGGTAGCTTTCCTCAGAGAAAAGGAACATACCACACATACCCACAAGTGTACACTCGCTTCCTCCTGTCGCAAGAGCAGAGGGGCTTGGCCAGTGAAGAAGGACAGGACACACCTGGCAAAGCAGAGGCGCCCAGGCCGGCTTGGCTGGCAGCCAGGGGCACGCTGCCTTCTCTGGTCCTGGTTTCCTGCAACACAGATCAATCAGTAACTGAATGTGAGCCCAGTGCCGCCCGATGGAACCCAGTGTCCTCTCTCTACAGCAAATAGTATTTCAGGTCTGTGTCTGCAGAACAAATGGTCTCGACAGGTTCATAAAACCAATCAGGAGAGGCCTGAGCCCCTAGACAGCCCCCATGGGCCGGAGTGGGAGGGCCAAGCTGAGGCTGCCTGCTCCAGGACCCTTCCTGAAACCTCTCCTCAGCATCCTGGGGACCTACCAGGGATCCCCGTCTCCCTGCTCTGACCATCCCTTTGTGTCTGAGCCCCACTGCCTACAGCGACATGAAGGTTGGGGTTGCATCTGAGGGTTCACCCATCAATCCCCAGGGGATTGATACAGTTTATGCTCAATAAAAGCTTGTAGCATGAACCTGCTATTGACAGGCTGCAGGAATGAATGAATGATGGGTGGTCAGCAACTGTCGTGGAACCCAGGAGAAATGTTGGGTAGAGGTGGCAGTGGGTGTGTGTGCTTACCTGAGGTGGGGGATCCTTGAGACTCGTCCTGGTGACAGCCACCATTTCATCTTTTTGGCAACACCGATGTGATCACAGCCTTGGGGATCAGCAGACCTGGACCCCAGTCCACTATACAACCATGGGCAAGGCCCCTGTGCTCAGTTTCCCCCATGGAGAAATAATCTCTATCTTGTGGAGGTTCCTTGCTGGACGCCAGTCC